GGGCGCGGGACGTACGTGGCCCAGGTCTTTAGTCTTGGAGGAGGGAGTGCTGCTGGAGGAGGCGACCGAGGCCGGGCTGTTGGGAGCGTCCCCCTTCTTCAGCCCGCGGGCTTTGTCCAGGCCGTTCTCCGGGGGCGAGTGGGCCGGGCTGACCCGGGGGGTGGCGGGATCCTGTGGGGCAGGAGAAAGCCTTGGAATCCCCTGTGGCTCCCTCCGGCTCCTCCATTCCAGGAGGCCCCTAAGGCATCACCCCCAATTCCCCCCCGTGGCACAGGCAGAGGGGCAGATCCACCCACAAGGACTCACCTCGTTGGAGACGTCGACCACCAGGTCATCGCTCTTGTCACCATCGCTGTCCTGGAACACAAAGCCAGTCACACCCCGCAGAGAGCCCCAAAAACTGGGGTGGGGGCACCCCCCTGAGGAGCTGAACCATCCCTCCACAGCACCAGGACACTTATGGGGGGTATTAGGGAAAATTTCTTCCCTGAAAGGGCGGTCAGGCATTGGACCAGGCTGCCCAGGGCAGCGATGGAGTCCCCATCCCTAGAGGGATTTAAAAGCCATGTGGATGCAGCACTTGGGGACACTGGATATGGCACTTGGGGACACTGTTAGTGGTGGCTTTGGCAGTGCTGGGGGACAGCTGGACTTGATTGTCTCAGAGGGCTTTTCCAACCTAACTGATTCCATGTTTCTATGACCCACACCATACCTGGAAAACGTCACCCAAACCCGCTGCCTCCCACCCCAGGTCCTGCCTGGTGGTGTCCCCGGGGCTCCCCGTGTCCCCTGTCACTCACATATCGGCTCATGCTGTCTTTGGCAGTGCTGGGGGACAGCTGGACTTGATTGTCTCAGAGGGCTTTTCCAACCTAACTGATTCCACGGTTCTATGACCCACACCATACCTGGAAAACGTCACCCAAACCCGCTGCCTCCCACCCCAGGTCCTGCCTGGTGGTGTCCCCGGGGCTCCCCGTGTCCCCTGTCACTCACATATCGGCTCATGCTGTCCTTCTCCTCCGCTTTCCGCTTCTTGGAGTCGATGCTGTAATCCGTGGAGCTCCGGTGCTTCTCGCTGGCTCTCAGGCTCTCCGAGGGCGACACGGAATTATTCTGCAATGCCACAAGAAGCTTTGAAGTTGGAAACAGAGGGAATTAGGACTTCATGAGCAGCAGCTTAGAAGGTGCCACATACAGCCCTGCACCAGCAGCACGGTGAGACCCCGTGGCTCCCAAGGCAGCAGGGAACAGGATGCAGGTGACAGGATCGGACACCACCCTCACTGTGAGCCCTGGGAATGCTGTGAGGCTGCTCATGGACACCTGAACCTCTTCACTGCAAAAGCACAGCAGGAAAAATGGAGGAGGTGGTTGTTGCTAAAAAGGCAAACCCTGGGAGGGAGATGTGGGAAACTCCAGCAGCTCTCAGTCCTCACTGGGATTCACCAGTGGGAACTGGGGAGTGCAGAGTGGGGAAAAGCTGTGCTCCCTAAAATCAGCCCCATCTCCCTCATCCTGTGCTCCCCATGGGAGAACAGGAGCTTCACCCCAGCCCGGGGCAGGGGAAGGACTTTGCACAAGGGGTGGTACCATGGATGGGCATCAGCAGAGCTGGGGGCCCTCATCCAGGAGGAGCAAAGGAACCGCTGCATCCCATTCCCAACATCAGCAGCTGAGCTCTGCCAAGCCAAGGGGCATCCAAAAAACATCCAGGAAAACCCACGTGACCAGGAGCACCACAGCCCAGGGTCCACAGGGATGCCCTGCTCAGGGGGGCTTCTGTCCTTGCTTCGAGCAGTGAAGCCCAGGAGATCCAGCATTCCCAGGAAAGCCCCAGAGCCCATGGGTGCTTCCTCTGGCACTGGCAGAGCCGGGAGGCCTCATCCAGAAGGAACAAAGGAACTGCTGCATCCTGGCTCTGGCACCAGCAGCTGAGCCAAAGGACATCCACAAAATATCCCAGAAAACCCACATGACCAGGAGCAGCAGAGCCCAGAGCCTGTGGGGGCTTCTGTCCCTGCTTCAAGCAGCACAACCCGGGAGACGCCGACATTCCCAGGAAAGCCCTTTGAATGCTGGGAGCAAAAATGGCAGCACAAAACCACCTCACGAGCGCCAGAGGATGCCCGGCCCTGATCCCACATCCCCCCACGGCGCAGCCCCTTCCCCACATCCCAGCTTCCTTTGCCCTCAGTTCCTGGGAGCAGCAGGAGAAACCCCCCACCCTCCCCGAGCCTGCCAGCCCCGCTAAGCAGCAACGCTCCCTAAGCTGCTGTGCCTGCCTTTCTTCCCCGGCTGAAAGGGAGAACTAAAGCAGTTCATGTTTCTCCTCGGTCCCCAGTAAGCAGCTTTGGATAACACCGAGCTCTTTCTTCCCAGGCAGTCATGCTGAAAACCCTCGCAGCTCCCGGAGAATCATGTCAAGCATTTAGAGGCATCGATCCATTCAGCGCCGCCGCTGGCCCGGCGCCAAGGAACTAAATATTTTTTATTGCACAGGCAAAGGCTGGGGAAAATATGAATGACTAACGCTGATTACGGCGCATTAAACCTCCCCCGGGAACACCCCGGCTCCGGGCTTATGGATCGGGAACCTTCCCACCTCCGACGGCCCCCTGCCCGCCCGAGGAGCGGGTTAATGATGCCCAATTCCCCTCTCCCCCCTTAAATAGCACTTTCCTTCCCGCCCGCCCCCGGCTCTCAAAAGGCCCATTTGTGGGCTCGGGGATGGCAGGAAATCGCTGCAAAGCCGAGGCTCAGCCGGGCTTTGTCCTGGCAGCTTTTCACACGGAATCGCCGGGGTTGGGAGAGACCTCCGGGATCACCGAGTCCACCCTCTGCCTGGTGCCCACCTTGTCCCCCAGCCCCCAGCACTGAGGGCCACGGCCAGGCCTTCCTTGGACACCTCCAGGGGTGGGGACTCCACCACCTCCCATTCCAGTGCTTGACAGCCCTTTCCATGAATCCCAGAATATGCTCAGCTGGGAAGGACCCACAGGGATCATGGAGTCCCAACTCCTGGCCCTGCACACAGGACCATTCCCAAGGGTCACACCATGTGGAGAAATTCCTTCTGATGTCTCATTTCCCTGAGCCAGAGGTGTTGTGTACACCAGGGCTGGGGGGTCCAGTTGGGCCCCACTGCATGGAGAAGGCAGCTCCCCCCTCCATATCCTCACTGCCTCCCCATCCCTGCTCCAGGGAAACCAGAACCCACCCTGAGGCGTCAGGGACACGGACAGAGGCACAGGTGCCCTCCAAAATCCAGGGATTCAGGTGGTTTGGGAACTGCTTGACCCTCCAAGTCTGACTTAACATGGTGTAATAACCAAACCACCCCAGCAGATGAGATGACCCAAGATAATGGGAGAGTGATCAGGAATAAAACAGCTGTCCCAGTCACTCAAAGGATTTTGGAGCTGACTGGGCTCACTCAAAACCCAACCATGAGGCTCTGCCACAAGCAAAGAGATTTAACCCAGACCTCAGAACCAGGTGACCCCACTCATCCCAGCACAGCTCTTCCAGGCAGGGTGGGAGCTTTGCACTGCCTGGTTTTTATTATTTAATAAGACCTGTGCAAAAGGCAGCCCCAGAGCTCCCACCTACAAAATGGGGTTTGAAGGGATAAAGAAAACAAAACCATGGAGCCACCAAAAACTGGGGGGAAAAGGAGGCAATGGGACTTACTGCACTTGAGTCTCGCTCTGTCAGGAGATGTCGGGGCAGAGGTGAGGTCACAGCCAAAATAAAGAGGAGACAGAGAAATAAAGCAAGTTAGAATTAAGTCTCAAACCAGAAAATAAACCAAGAAGCTCCTCATGCTCTTAACTCAAGCCCTATCTGGGCTCTCTCTGGCTTTAAAATCCCCCTGTTCATCCAGCCCCTGCTGCCTCCTGCCCCTTTCCTTTTGTCCCTGTGATTTATTTGGCAAAGCACAGCTGGAAATGCCCCGAATCCAAAGGGAATGGCAGCAGCCTCTGGTGCTTGTCCCCGAAGTCACAACCTCCGACAGTCCCGTCGGCAGCACAACGTGGTTCAGCCATTAATCTGTGCCCAACAGCCCCATTTTCCCTGGGATCTCCTGGCAATCTGAGTCCATGCAGGAAAAGAATCATAACTGGATAAATTGCTTTGGATAATTTTGTCTCACTGTTTTCTCAGGGAGGAAAAACATCCCCAAGCCTGCAGCAGAGCCTGACAGCTCAGAGGGGCTGTTGGTACCTGCCCTGCAAACGGGAATGAGGGGGAAATATCCCAAATCCTTCCATGTCTGGGGATAAGGGGATTTGCCAGGGAAATATTGAATACTGCTCATTTGCACCTGGAATCATACATCATTTTATCTTCTAAAAAGCTGTCTGATCACTAATAATTAGAAAAAAACCTGAGTTTGGGGGTGAACAGAGGAGGAGGAGGAGGAGGAGGAGGAGGAGGAGGAGGAGGAAGCTGCTTCCCCATTGAGGCACCGCTGAACTGCAGCGAGACTTCAACAAAGGTTGAGCATCATTTAGGGAAAACTGCATCCCTAAAAGCACAATCCCATGGCCTGAAGCCCACAGTCCAGAGGGGTGGGGAGGTGGGAGCAGAGCTGTGTGTGGGTCAGGGTGCTGCCCCCAATATCAGAAGGATGTGGAGCTGCTGGAAAGAGTCCAGAGGAGGCCACAGACATGTTCCAAGGGCTGGAGCCCCTCTGCTCTGGAGCCAGGCTGGGAGAGCTGGGGGGGTTC